GTATGCTGTAAAAGCTGTGTTTTGCAGATTCTATCAATTCCATTTTGATCTGGCAATCATGTTTTGGTCAAAGTACATATGTTTGCAGTTTATTTATTTATGCAATACATATTCCATATCTTATATTGAGGTAGTGTGGTTGAAAGAGTTTCGAACAGAAAGATCACCTGTCGGTTCCCTATAAGACTAAACTATTCGTTCACAGTCTAGACTAGAAGTAAGACCCCACTTGGAAAAAGACTGTAGTGTATTCTCGAATCAGTTGGTCTTCGACTGAAGGATTACACTGGCACTTATGTTACGTGTTGAACAGGACCGCGGAAGGCAAAGGTTATGAGACTCACTGACCGTTGTTGTAACCTCGCCCTTCAGTGATTGATGCGTTCTCTTAAGCTGTAAGATAATATAAAATAGGCATATATTTTTATTTCTTATTTATTTGATTTACCAGGTGATTCCTATTCTGTTAGGATGACATACGAGGTATTTTGGTAAGTAAGAATAATTATATGATGTGCTATTATAAATTATTTACAGTCACTATGTTCCAGTGTGCTGGATTGATGACGTCCCTGAAATGAGCTCAGAAAGGAACATTATGTTAAATTCTGCAGGTAGACGATTGTCTGACATAATGGTTAAAGGCTGAGTGGTACTAATTTTGGAAATGAATAAGAAGTTGATTAATTATTTTGTCAGTAATTTAATTAATCAACGGACGTTATATCTTAAACATAGGGAGGTAAATCGATCAATTAGATTAATATTATTTAATCATGGAGGCTCGATTTTATTGGTAAAATAGTGGCTAAATGGGAAGATCAATAATATTACTCTAGTGGGATGTTTTATTATTTAATTCCATTAAATAGGAATTAATTTTATTCCATATCAATTAATTAATTAGGAAAATAAAATTCCTACTAGAATCTTCTTTTGGGATTAGGAAACTTGGGAGTCTTCTAGAAGATGAAGACTAATGGGAAATATATTTCCTACATTATAATATTAATTGGAGTAAAATTAGGCTTCCTAAATTAGGAATTAATTTTATTCCATGGTTATTAATTTAATTAGGAAAGATATTCCTACAAGAATCTTCTCTATTGTTAGGAGACTTAGGAGTCTTCTAGAAGGAGAGGATTAGTAGGAGATTTCCTTCTTACATTAAATTAGTATTGGAGTAGAATTAGGTTTCCTAGGCCTAATGGAATAAGCCCATATTTAGCACCTCCTTAAGGTCCCTAATGGAGCCTATAAATACACCATGTCCCAACCTCTCCTACAAAGTTGTCTTGGCCAATTTTTCTCTACTACATACACGAGAGAATTACATCGTTCGAGAGTTAGGGAGATTCGATTAAACGCTCCACCAAGTTTAATCGAAGTAGGTGTTTAGGTAATCCAGTAGAAGGCTTTTTGGTACAATATATTGAGCTTTCTAATATATATATATTTCGATCATCATCATCATCTTGTTGCTGCCGATCGCTGCCCATCGCCGCCGTGAGTGATCGCCGGAAATCGCCAACTGCCGCCGGTCACCGCCCGAGTCCAGCCGAAGTGCAACTCCACGCCCCGCACGCAGTCGTGCATCGCCTAGACCCGTCGCGACGCCCAGCACCCTCACGCGAAGCAGTCCAGCCCCGCACGCCTGTTCGTGTGAGATCTGCCCGCATCGCTGTCGTCCCCAGCGCGCCATTACACGCGCGCGACAGTCCTTGTGCGCCCAGGATTCCTTGCTCCGTACGTCCGCGTGGCCCAGACGCACGACGCTAATCCGCGGCTACCTAGGAGTCCCGCAACGCACGCGCGAAACGCCCCAGCCCGTTCACGCTGTCCCGCATCCCGCGCATCCACGCCAGCTCCCAGCGCCCGACGCACGCCA